AATATATTCTCCAATCCACGATGATTATCTACTTAATCTAGTGTCAATTAAATTCAATCTTAATTGAATAGATAAATTGGTTTGAGTATTTATACTAAAGTGATCTAATTATATTAACTAGACTAATATGGGAGATGAATGCTAAGACTTCGAATTCCCTTGTTAATCCATTTTAATACAATTGAATATCACGACAATATGTACTTATTCATATTGATCAATGTTCTTAAGTTAATTAAAAGCATCTATTGAAGTAAATTAAATCTATCACTTCACGTGACCTCCGATATTTCTATGAAAGATGCGAACATGAAAACAATTATTAAATACGTTAGAACATCCATAAAAATCATTCAAAGCATAATAGTATATCTCTATCCCCTATCGAACTTTACAATGATTATTATAAATAGTATCTATTCTATTATTTCTCTTTAAATCAATAAAATTCACATTCAAGAGAATTGGTGATCAAGCAAATTGTAAATGCATTAAAACTCAATAACGACCATCCATGCATTCACACATATTGGACGTCAAAATACTTATATTATATTAAAAACTTCAAAATAAGGGTTCATCTACATCCTAATAATTATAAATTTAATCTAGCACATGGAAATTAGGAGAAAACATTTTAATTCTATAAAATTTAACCCAGATTATGAATGTGATGAATAACGAAGAATAAACTTGATGATCTTGAACATGTTCAACCAAATCTTGACGAATTTTCAATTATTTCTTCAATTCTTTGCCCAAAATCCAAATGAATTCTTCAATTGATTTAGTTTTTGCACTTGTCCATTGATTGTATCTTAAGTATTCTGAATTTGCCTCTATCTTTGTTGTATGAATTGATGGAATCATGAATGTAACATGTGTACAAATGAAGTAGGAGAGGTCTCTCTAATGTATTAGGCTGTTAGATATTTGTAGGAGTTGAAAATTGATTGAATATTACATCCAAATTGGTTTGCAAAATAGTTTCAATCAAATAAGAAAAGTTACCTTCGCTTGCGAAATATTTTTATCTCTACATAACTGTCAGTTTATTGATCATGATTTTCTCTTCCTATATTTTATTGAGGTGATTTAAAGTGTGTTAGAAAAATAACTCAAAAGGCTACCACTTTGTTAGAAATAGAAGGTTTCCCAATTCAGCGTTTACTATGCCAAAAATGGGTCTCAAGTTTTGGCTAAAAATCTAGAATATAACTTATGCGATTCATTTTTTACTTTTAATTGTATTCAATTGTCTCTTAGCAATCTTCAAAAAAATATCGTCTTGTGGTCTGAATTAACTATTGAATATTTGCAATTGGTCCTCAAACTTTGAACTTCATCATTTTCAATAATTTTCGCTTCTTTCTTTTAATTTCTCATCCAACCATTGAGTTCTACATATATATCATTAAATAAAAAAAATCAGAATATATTTTGTGAGATGAACTATCAAATATCGCTATTTTACGTCTTGAATAAGTGTTTGAAATAAACTTATTAAACACTCCCCAAAATTGAACATGTTTGTCCTCGAACAAACTCTAACCTCAATAATAACAAATACGCAAGAATGTAAAATATTTTTTTAGGCAATCTAGTTTTTTATCTTAGGATTTGAAGTCACCTTATTAAATCTACAAACGGCTTCAAAGTCACATACCAAACATATATCCAATCTCTCAATGTAAAACTGATGTGTGTGTGAAGAATTAAGTAGACAATCATGAATTTACAAGTTGCTTCAACTCCCGACCTTCTGTGGTCAAATATATCCTTTTATCTCTCGTATGATTCACACACTATCAACTTATTCTTTTTACGCTTTTCCCAGCTTGCAATTCTGAGTTGAGTTTTTCATTACTTTCCACACTCTCTCCAGTTCAGGTAGGCTCTACTAATTGAAACTCAACATATAAGTAAACTAGGATTTTCCATTTATTTGATTGTTTCAACCTCTAAGATTCAACTAGGCTAATTATTCTTCATCAAAAGTCAAATTCTCTCAAACAAGTGCTTGAGACTTAACCAATGTATCTAGTCATTTTTCTTCTTTTATGCACTTTTTTTTTTCTAATTTTCAAAAGTACACACACACACACACATATTGCGTGACTTTTTTTTTTTTTTTTTGTCATTCTCTCATTTTTCTTTCTAGAAGACCCATGTTGCAGGATTTAAGTCAATGACTTCCGAATCAGATAATTTTAAGGCACCAAGTTTCAAACACTTTTACAGGCTTAATAACCCGAGTAAAAAAGTTTCGAAGAAAACTAAGTTTGTTTCAAGTGCAACTTCCTCTCAATTGCTTTCTAAATAACCATTGTATTGAGTTTTAGGTCAATGACTCCCAAGTCAGATAACTTTAGGGCACCATGTTTTTAGAAATCCTTGTAAACTTAATTACTTGAGTCATAAAGGCTTCAAAGAGAAGTTTCAAATTTCAAAAAATTTATACATTGATTAGTGTAATGTCTCTTATCAAACACTTATTTAAGTAAACTGACCTTCAACTTAAGATTTTCCTTCAATTTTATTTTGTTAATTTAAGACAATCCACATATAATTTTTCATACAAGGAATCTCCATTTATATTCATATCTTCCTACAATAATAAAATCGTCCCCAAACTATGCTAAATTTGGTCTAAGGATCATTAATTTATAATAGTTTTGTGTATAGCACCTGTATCACCCCATCCATCATATGAATCAACTCATTGTATCTTGATGTAAAACTCAATTCTAGTTCGTAGATCACAAAATATCAATTAAGATAGAATTCTATGGAAACCAGGAAGTTTGCATAAAAGGAAATTATTCGCCTTCGGAAATAACTATGCGACCACATAGTGTAATTTGGTGCTGCCACATAGTTCAATTGAACTGCAACCGCAAATGTTTTGCACCTATACGTGCGGTCGTGCGCTGGCTATAACGGTGCAATCGCACCATTGTAGACCAAGGTCCATTCTTCTGTTGCTTGTAACCAATTGATCCAAATGGTTTTGGCTCTCGACCCTAACATGGAAGTTGCCTCGTTTCTCAACACGATCATCATCCCATCAATCATTGATTGAATAATTAATCCCATAGCTTGATTTACTCGCTTTGCCCTTGATCGCATCATCGGTCCACCTTCGATAGTCAACGGGGTCTTGTCCTGGGCTCGTCTTTGTTCGGCTCAGCTCTTGAATCACATTAGCCCCTCTCTCTTCAAAAGGTTTCATCCTTAAATCTGAACCTGCATAAAAAACAAAAGAGATCGGACACATTAAATGTAGCCGAAACATTATACTTACCTGGGAAATCCGACTTGTATGCATTGCCATTGATCTTTTTGATAACTTGAAATGGACCATCTCCACGTAGTTGCAACTTAGACTTTCTTTGCTTTGAAAATCACTCATTTCTGAAGTGTACCCAAACCCAATCACTTGGTTTGAATGTCACGCTTTTTCCACCCTTGTTGGCCTACGATGCAATAAGCTTGCTCTTATTCTAGATCTTGATCCGGACCTTTTCATGGAGTGACTTTACTAATTCAGTTTTATTTTTACCGTCTAAACTACTATGTTCATTCACAAGTAAAGGTATCAAATCCAATGGGGGTTAGTGGATTAATTTCATAAACAATTTCAAATGGTGAAAACGAAGTAGTAGAATGAATAGCCCAATTATATGCAAATTCAACAAAAGGTAAACATTCTTCCCAACTTTTCAAATTTTTATTTATCACCATGCACAATAATTGAGTCATAGTCCTATTGATTACCTCTGTTTGTTCATCGGTTTGTAGATGATAAGTTGTAGAAAACAACAATTTATGCCTAACTTATCCCATTACATCCCTATTTGACACAATACTCTTAAGGACTCCATGTAAGCGCACTATCTCCTTAAAGAACAAATCCACTATGTGAGTGGCGTCATTAGTTTTATGACACAGTATGAAACGCGCCATCTGACTAAATCTATCTACCACCACAAAACTTAAATCTTGTCGTTTCTTAGTCCTAGTTAAACCCATCACAAAATCCATCGATATATGGACCTATGGTTCATTAGGAGTAGATAATGGTGTGTACAACCCTTTATCTAAAATCTTAGACTTAGCCCGCTTATAGTTTATGCATTGACTGCATATCCGTTCAACATCACTTTTCATCTTAGGCCAATAAAAATATTCTCATAACATTTCTGAGGTTTTTTGAACCCCCAAATGCTCACATCAATCCACCGCTATGTGCTTCTCTCACCAACAATTCCCGTATTCAACAATAGGAATGCACAGTTTATTTTTCCGAAACAAGTAACCTTCATGTGTAAAGAACTTATCCTCTTTTCGCACATGTTTTATAAGCATCGAAAAAATCTAAGTCATTTTCATACAACTCCTTAATAAGTTCAAAGCCAAGTACTTTAGCACTTAGTGAATTTAGAAAGACATACCTTTGCGATAAAGCATATGCTACTACGTTTTCTTTACCTTGCTTCTATCAAATGTCGTAGGGAAATGTTTCAATAAACCCCATCTATCTGGCATGCCTTTTGTTCAGCTTCCCTTGACCCTACAAGTGCTTCAACAACTCATGGTCGGTGTGTATCACGAACTCCTTCGGCCACAAATAATGCTGCCATGTCTTCAAGGCTCGAACAAGCGAGTACAACTTCTTATCATAAGTAGGGTAGTTAAGAGCAGCTCCGTTCATCTTTTCACTTAAATAAGTTATCAACCTCCTATCCTGCATCAATACTGCTCCAATCCTTATTCTTGAGACATCACACTCAATCTCGAACGTCTTTTCATAGTTAGGTAATGCAAAAACAAGTGCTTTATATAATTTATCTTTAATAGCATTAAATGTATATTCCTGTTCATCACCCCAATGAAAACCTACACTCTTTTTCACTACCTCAATGAGTGGCATGGTGATTGTGCTAAAATATTTTACAAACTGCCTATAAAAACTAGCCAATCCATGAAAACTCCTTACTTCAATTATATTCATAGGTGTAGGCCAATTTTTTAATAGCTTTTATCTTCTCCTCTTCTACTTCTATGCCGTTAGCACTAACCACAAAACCTAAAAAGACAAACCTTTCCATGTAAAAGTACATTTCTTAAAATTAGCATAAAGTTGTTCTTTCCTTAACACCACAATCACACTTCTTAAACGCTCTACATGCTCATTTAGGTTTTTGCTATATACTAGATTGTCATCAAAATAAAAAACAACAAAATTTCCTATAAAATCACGTAAAACATGATTCATTAAACACATGAAAGTTCTCGGTGCATCAGTGAGTCCAAACGACATTACCAACCACTCATATAGTCCATATTTGATTTTAAATTCAGTTTTCCACTCATTACCGTCCCTTATTCGGATTTGATGGTAACCATTTTTAAGATCACATTTACTAAAAATGCAGGCACAATGTAATTCATCTAGCATGTTAGCTAACCTAGGGATAGGGTGACGATACTTTATCATTATATTATTGATGAGTCCACCCACATCTTCTATGTCCCATCTTTCTATGGAACCAACAGTATTGGCACGGAGCACGGACTCATGCTCTCCCTGACATAGTCCTTGTTCATCAACTCCTCCATTTTCCTCTGAAACTTTTTTTTCCTCGAGATTGCTTTGATAAGCTAGTTGGTTTGGAATGACAACAATAGGTATCAAGTTGACTTGTTGCTCAATGCCTTGAATGGTTGGCAATATACTAGGCACGTCCTCGAAATCTTGTAACAAAGATTTAGCCAAAGTGGGAAGCGGTGGGTCAGTTTCCTCAAAATTGAGGAGTGACTCTTTGTAGACCAACAAATTCATTTCTCTCTTTTCGGCTCTCCTCAGCTTACTCTCTTTTGCAAAGAAATTCGCTCTTGGCTTTTCTCTCTCCTAGAAAGGCTCATCTCTCTTTTTCTCTCAACTCCCTACCTTACTAGTTTCTCTCTTATTTGCCACATCACCTTTTTCTCCATTGCTCACTGTCTCATTATTTTCTCTCGCTCTCCTCTCTCATTCATTTTTCAATTAAATTTGGTCTTCATACATTTGTGCCGACGTTAATGGTGTAAGGGTAATGGACCTCCCGTCCTTGACAAAGCTGTATCGATTTTTGTATGCATCATGAATGACGTTTCTATTATTTTGCCACAGTCTTCCCAACAGCAGATATCTGCGCGCATAGATATCACATCACATACCACTTCATCACGATAACTCCTAATTGAGAAATTTATCAAAACCCTCATATTCACCTTGATTTCTCTGTATTCATTGAACCATTGAAGCTATAAGGTCTAAGGTGTTTCTATAAAGTTGATCCCAATTTTTCTACCAAAGTTGTGCTAGCCACATTCGTGCAACTCCAACCATTGATGATCAAACTACATACCTTATCGTTAATGTGGCATCGAGTGTGGAATATATTTTCCAATTGCTGCTCCAAATCATCCACCGTGATTTGAGCGTTAAGAGCTCGCCTCGTGACCAATAGCTCTCTTACATCATATTCTACTTTCTCCCATCACTAATTTTTTCTAACTCCGGCATGTCGTCATATTCACCTTCACTTTCACTCACCACATATTTGTTGTCCCACAACACCATCGACCGTTTGTTTGGACACTGAGAAGTAATGTTTCCCGACCCCAAGCACCTGAAACATTTAATATCCTGATGGTTGTGACTTGCTTTGTGTATGATTTTACTAGCACTCTCTTCTTTTCCACTTGGTAACTCAGTCCTACCCTTAGAAACAACTTCATCTCCTTTATTGTTATCCCATTTCGATTTTTAAGGTAAATTAGGAACCGAAGTTTCCATTGGTTGCCTAGCAGTCCCCTTTCTTTTAAACTGATTCTCCACCTTCATCGTCATGTGCAACATATCCTCCAACTCCACATAATGTTGCAGCTCCACCACATTGGCTATATCCTTATTCAATCCATTTAGAAAATGAGCCGTTGTGGCTTCCCGATCTTCTTTCACGTTTACCTTAGTCATCAACATCTCCATCTCCTCGCGATCATTGTCTACAATTTTCGAATCCTGATATAAACTTTGTAACTTTTGATGGAGTTCCCTATAGTAGTGACTAGGTACAAATTGCTTTCTCATCGCTGCCTTCAACTTATCCCAAGTGTTGATAGGCCTCTCTCGATTCTCACATCGTGAAGTGACTCCTTGATCCTACCAAGTTATCGCATAGTCAGTGAATTCTAGAATCGTTATCTTCACATTTTTCTCCTCCGAGTAGTTATGACACTCAAAAATTACCTCCACCTTCCTTTTTGACTCTAGATAAGCTTCAGGATCACTTTTTTCCTTAAACGGCGGAATGGACATCTTAATGTTGCCCATATTACCATCTATCTCGTTGCCATGATTATTCCTACCCCGTCGTTCAAACCTATCACCTCTATTTCCCATCCTTCCCATCTCAACTCCTTCATACTCATCCTCATCCAAATCGTTACCATAATCATATGCCTCCCGCCATTCCATCCTAGGCTCTCGTCTATCTGGCTTTCTAGCATGAGGTACTTCCGCCTATTGTCCCCTACTAAGATTTGTAACCGATGTATCAGACCTATCTAACCTATCTCCCATATCTACTAACAACCTCTCAAACCGCCTCATCATATCTTCCGACACATTAATGTGATTGCCGTTTCTACTTGAATTGGAACCTTCTCTGTCAGACATCTTAAATCTTAAAATTATCTACCTCACCAATAATTTACTCAGAATCACACAATAAGACTTTTACCTTCTATTGATTTTATCTCTCTACCTTTACCACTTAGTGCTTTCGTCTAAGAGCTTCAAAGATCAAGTGAACTCAACAGGATTTAACCTTGTGGATTCTGAACAGGATGTAATCAAGGGTTATGATAATAATGGGAATTCAAAACAATGGGAATGCAATTTGAGTGGACAGTTAATAAAATTCAAGAGTGATTGAACGAAAATTACGAGAATGGAACAAATTTGACTTAAGAAAATTATAAGACTCCTGGTATTAGATTGATTAATAACAATACTTTTTTTTTAATATTTTTGGATTGCCCTTTTTATATATTTTCAGACTACTCTTTTTTTTTACTTTGGCAAGAAAATTAACTACAATACTAGCAAAATAAACAAACTTTAAGGATTAACGATAACTTTACGAATCTGAGACTCAAATAATGAAGAAATAACAAGAAAGCGATAAGAATCTAGGACAAACAAAAATTAAAGATTCAAATAAGGACGAACACAAAAATAATGCGGAATCTAGGAAAACAAGAAATTAAAGATTCAATAAGAAAACAAAAACGTGTAACCTCGATTAATTTGGAGCCTGCGCTCTAATACCAATTGATGTGAATCCACATAGCATGGATGCTACAGAACCCACACAAGATTGTGAGATAACCTAGGAAAGTCAATTAACCTCGGTTTATGGATTCAACCCAAGAATTAATGAACCAAGCAAACTTGCAAAACGATGTTTGGAAGACCTCTTGATTACACAACCCAAGAATTGTACCAAGTGTTTGAACTCCACAAGATTTGCGCATTGATAAGTTCGAAATTGTTCAAAAGAAGAACAATAGATTTGAAAGCAATAAGCCTCACAATTCAATTGAATAATAATGTCCGAGTTGTCACAATGAATGAAAATATGTCCAATTTATATGAAACACTCAAAAACCTAATTTAAATGGAATTCTTGTCCAAAAGACCACAAAATATCAATTAAGATAGAATTCTATGGAAACTAGGAAATTCGAGAAAAAGGAAATTATTCACCTCCAGAAATAACTATGTGATTGCGCAGTGGAATTTGGTAGAGTTGTATAGTTCAATTGAACTACCACAGCAAATGTTCTACCTTTATACGAGCGGTCGCACACTGCCTATAACGATGTGAACACACCGTTGTCGACCAAGCTCCCTTCTTCTGTTGCTTGTAACCAATTGATCTGAATGATATCGGCTCTCAACCCCAACATGGAAGCTCTCAACCCCAACATGGAAGTTGTCTCATTTCTCCCCACGATCATCTTCCCATCAGTCAT